CCGTGCTGTAGTCCGACATGGCGCGGCGGGGCCGGGCCTGGCGCGGCTGCTGAAGCTGAGGAGGTGGAGGCGGCGGCAGCAGCAGCGGCGGCGGCTCAACGCGGGAACAAGGCCTCGCTCCACACGGCCGCGGAGCACTCTGGGAACCCAGCGGCTGGGAAGACGATGGTGGGGGGGAGGGACGTCCCCCTCCCGCCGCCGTGACGGACGGCAGGATCGGGCCAATAGGAAGCAGCCGCCGCTCCCCGGACACCAATCAAGGGCTCTGTGGTCAAGCGACCAATCGGAGTGCTGCGGAAGGCACTGGGTAGTAGGCGCTGTATGACTGACAGCTCTCTGAGGCAATGCGCTGCTGGCTGCCGGCGCTAGGTTGGCCCAATGAAGCGGAGTTCCAGAATCGTGGGGCGGCTTCAGAACCGATTGACCGCTCGGAAGAGTCAAGCGTACAGGAAGGAGGAGCCTAGCAAATGGCTCCTTTGAGCACAAGCCAATGAGTGCACGCAGAAGGCGGTTCTTGTAAAGATTGGCAGTCAATTTAATCCAATCGCTTACGAGTTCTGGGTGATGCGCTTGGGTTTGGATTGGCTTTTAATGTTAACCATAATCCTTTTCCAGCCTTGACTTCTAAGCCAATGGCTGAGAGACGGGGGCAGGTGTTAGGTGACTGACACCGGTCTAGACAAATGGCAATGAAGTAAAGGTGCCCAGTATTAGTGGGAACCAGTGGAATCGCAGCTGCATTGGGGCGGAGCCTGCTACCAGACGGCGAGAGGGGATTAGTGGAAGGGGGAATGAGTGGCAGCGTACATACGCAATAGCGACTGGCTGCCAGAATTCGGGCCTGACGTCAGGGTTAGCGCCCCGGAGCCTGGCTGGGTAGGCCAGGCACGTGGTTTGCTTGAGGTCTTGGAGATCGGGTGCTTTCTGGAGTTGAAGTGGCCTGAGAGCAGGAGGAAACCCAGGGATTCCCCTGTAACCCCTTTTCCTTTCTCCACCCATGGCTCTAGAAGCCCTTCTCTTCCAGGGTCTATGGAACCAGCTCCACTCCCGAGCTAATGGGTTTTGGGCCATGGTTCCCTCCCAGCACTGAGGGATCCCAGACCCTAATTCCACACCCCACACCTGCTTCACACTAGGTCCCGGGATCCAAGCTTCACTGGACGCAGGCAGCATCCATCCTTCCCATTCAGGACCCAGAGGTCCGAGGTACTCAGCCCCGCTCCGGGACACAGGGAGTGCAGATACTCAGCTCCTCTCTTGGACCCAAGTATCCAGGTCCCCAGCTCCCCTCCTCAATCCAGATATCCCAGACATGTTTAGCAGAAACCATCACTTTATTCCTGGTTTGACTCCATGTTCACCAATTTGCCCTGGAACCAGGACAGACTACTACGAGCCAAACTGGAGTCCATAGTAGTTTCAGGCTGCATCTGGAGAGCATCTTCTGACCCAGACCCCCAGTCTGCTTTTCCTGAAAAAAACTTCCCTGTGGCCTGAGCCTGGGGGGCTCTTTGGGGCCAGGGGACATTGAATCCTCCGCCCATTTCTGCCCAGGGTGTGTGGCTTAGCTCATTGTCTATACACCCAGGGTCTTCTTCATGGCTTCATACACCACATAGCTGATGCCACCAGCCGGCGGCACCTTCAGTAATGTGGGGGTCATACCTCGGTATAGCCCCGGCCAGCCCTGCTGGGCCAGGATCCGCTGGAAGACTCCACACATGGTGGGGTTCGAACCCTCCACAGTGTCTGCAGGGACAGGAACAAGCTCAGCGTCTCAGAGATAAGCTGGCCTCCCCGGTCGGGAGTGTGTGTGTGTGTGTGGGGGGGAGGGGCGGGGTGCTGGAATGTTAGGGGATGGGAAGTGGAGCCAGGGGCAGAGGTTTGGGGGTCAGTTGGAAAGAAGACTTTTAGAGAAAATCAATTGGTTTGGGAGAGCAATTCGGGCAGGAATTTTCAGATTTCCTTTTTGGGAACATCTTAAAAAACATTCAAGCCTATTTGGGAGGTAGCTTCTAAGATCTAGAGATTTTGGGGAGTGTGCTCAGGAATAGTTGGGGGACAATTTCAAGGTGAAGGGGGTTGGCTAAGGACCCACTTGGATGTTTGAGGTTGTTTGAGAGTCCATTTGAGGGAGTCACATTTGGGGAGTTTCCAGGGTTGTGAGGGAGTGGTTATGAATTTTGGGACATCTAAGGGTCAGATTTGGCAAATTTAGGAATCATTTTGACTTTTGGAGCCAATTGAGGACTGGATCTGACTTAGAGAAGTTAGGAGGTCATTTGGGGGATATGTCTTGAGGTCAGTATGGGGGCCTGGGTCACATTTGGGGGGGTTTGTGATAATCATTTGGAAGATGGATGTTCATTTTAGTGATTTGTAGTATTAATTTGAGGGCTGGGATCAGATTTGGAGATGAGTGTAAAGTCTTGGTGGCTTAGGGGGTCAGTGAAGTTGGCCAAGATCAGATGTGGGAGTTTGGGGATGAGAAATTCAGAGGGTTGGTGGAGGGCCAAGCGGGGAGAGCCATAGACGGTGGCCACTAGGGCTAGGCTGACCTTGAGCCTGCATCCTGGTGCGCACCAAAGTCAGTGGGTAACTGGCCATCTGACCACAGGTTGTGGACAGCGTCACTGACAACAGACTGACCAGGCCACTAGGGTCCACCATGTCTCTGCCTGACTTCAGCCAGAAGCACCTGAGTATCTGCAAGAGAAAGGGGAACAGGAGGAAGCTTGCTAGGGCCTGGGTTCCCCCCCGCCACCCCCTCTTAGGGACCCATACCTCATAGACAGCCAGGTCGGTACAGGCATAAGGGATGATGCCGAGCATGTTGGGCAGGTAGCCACGGTAAAGGGCGCGGGTGCCCTCCTGCTCCAGGATCTGCTTGGCACAATCTAGCAACCCCTTGTATTGGCCTGTTCGGCGCAAGGTCAGTCGTGTCTTCAGCACCTGGGGAGGGTGAGGAGTAAGGCAGCTCATTTGATTTAATCCTCTCAGTGACCCTCAGCAGCGGCCATTGTCCCCATCTACAAATGAGGAAACTGCTCAGGAATGTGCAAAGCTGGGTGTCAAATCCAGAGCTCCCTGTCCCATTCCTTGGCCTGTGTTTGCTCTCAACCCTGGGTTCAGAAGTTCAAGTGCTGACAGAGGCCAAGAGGGGAAGGGAAGTGACATGAGCCAAGTGGGGTATGTGGCAGCTTGCATTTAGCACCAGCCAAACAGAGCGCCATGGGAGTGCAGGCTCCATCCAGGTGGCCAGATCTGCCAATTTTCTGAAAGAGCCAGAAATAGGAATTTTTATGAAATGCTCCAACATCAAAATATTGGCAACTCTACCATTTCGCAAAAAAACCAAAACGCAGTGTGGTAGGCAAAATTCTAAGGTGGTCCTCAAGACTCATGCTTCCCCTGTATACTCCCCCACCTTGAATGCGGGCTAGGCCTGTGAACACAATGAGATGTCACTCCCCTGATCCTGTTACATGGTAATGACAAAGGTAACCGGATTTTGCAGATGTAATAAAGGCCTCTAAGCAGCTGACTTTAAATGAATCAGGAGAAATTGTCCTAGATGGGCCTGACCTAATCAGGCAAGTCCTTTAAAAGAGGTCTATTACCAGAGATAGAAGTAGAAAAACTGGAAGCATCAGAGACACCCTCTGTTGGTCTGAAACAAGCAAACTATTATAGAGAGGACCACATGGTTGGCTTCTAGGAGCTGAAGACATCAGTCCTACAACCTTAAGCAACTGAATCCTGCCAACAACCAGGAAGCTTGGCAGAGGGGCCTCAGATGAGTTCGTTGGTAGCCAGCTGACACCTTGATTTCCACCAGATAAAACCCTGCACAGATCACCTCACTAGCCAGTGCCCAGGCATGAACCACAGAATCAATGAAATTTTTAAAAATCTAAAATTTTGCCCTAGCCAGTTTGGCTCAGTGGATAGAGCGTTGGCCTGCGGACTGAAGGGTCCCAGGTTCAATTCTGGCCAAGGGCATGTACCTTGCTTGTGGGCACATCCCCAGTAATGGGTGTGCAGGAGGCAGCTGGTCGATGTTTCTAACTCTCTATCCCTCTCCCTTCCTCTCTGTAAAAAATCAATAAAATATATTTAAAATAAAAATAAAAATCTGTAATTTTAGCCATGGATGGTGTGACTCAGTGGTTAGAGTGTCCACCCTCACACCAAAGGGTCACAGGTTTGATTCTCAGTCAAGTGCATGTACCTGGGTCGCAGGTTTGATCCCCATCCCTGGTTAGGGCACATGTGGGAGGCAGACAACCAATCAATATGTTTCTCTCACACTGATGCTTCTCTCTCTCTTTTTCTCTCCCTCCCTTCCACTCTCTCTAAAAATCAGTGGAAAAATATCCTGGGGTAAGGATTATTTTAAGCTAATTTAGTCTGTGGTAATTTGTTACACAGCCAGTGAAAACAAATACACTTTGAAAAAAACTTAACCAGATGAGGGCAAGAATTATATATATATTTAAATCTTTATTATTGAAAGTATTACTTATGTCCTCCTTTTCCCCCCTTGACCCTTCTAGCCTGCCCGCTCTCTGCCCCAGACCTTCACAACTCTATTGTCTGTGTCCATGGGTTATGCATATATGCATACAAGTTCTTTAGTTGAGCTCTTTCCTCCCACTCAACCACCTCTACCTTCCCTCTGGGATTTGACAGCCTGTTCCATGTTTCTATCTCTCTGGATCTATTTTGTTCAACAGTTTGTTTTGTTCATTATAAGTGAGATCATGTAATACTTGTCTTTCTCTGACTGGCTTATTTCTCTTAGCATAATATTCTCCAGGTCCATCTATGCTGTCTCAAAAGGTAAGAGATCCTTTTTTTTTTAACTGCTGCATAGTATTCCATGGTGTAAATGTACCACAGCTTTTTTATCCACTCATCTACTGATGTTTCCAGATCTTAGCTATTGTAAATTGTACTGCTATGAACATAGAGGTGCATACATTCTTTCTGATTGGTATTTTGGGTTTCTTGGAATATATTCCTAGAAGTGGGATCCCTGGGTCAAATGGCAGTTCCATATTTAATTTTTTGAGGAAAAACCATACTGTTTTCCATAATGGCTGCATTCCCACCAGCAATGTGCTAGGGTTCCCTTTTCTCCACATCCTCTCCAGCAATTGTCATTTATTGATGGTAGCCATTCTAACAGGTGTGAGGTGATACCTCATTATCATTTTAATTTTCATCTCCCTGATGATCAGTGACTTTGAGCATTTTTTCATATGTCTCTTGGCTATCTGTATGTTCGCTTTGGAGAAGTCTCTATTTAGGTCCTTTGTCCATTTTTTACTTGGATTGTTTGTCTTCCTTTTGTTAAGTTCTATGAGTTCCTTATATTTTGGAAATTAACCCTTTATCAATTGTATCATTGGCAAATATGTTCTCCCATTCAGTGGGCTCCCTTTTTATTTTGCTGATGGTTTCTTTTGCTGTGCAGAAGCTTTTTATTCTGATGTGGTCCCATTTGTTTATTTTCTCCTTAGTTTCCTTTGCCCTAGGTCACAGTGATGGCGAACCTATGACACACGTGTCAGAGGTGACACGCGAACTCATTTTTTTGGTTGATTTTTCTTTGGCATTTAAATATATAAAATAAATATCAAAAATATAAATCTTTGTTTTACTATGGTTGCAAATATCAAAAAATTTCTATATGTGACACGGCACCAGAGTTAAGTTAGGGTTTTTCAAAATGCTGACACGCCGAGCTCAAAAGGTTCGCCATCACTGCCCTAGGACAGTGGTCGGCAAACTCATTAGTCAACAGAGCCAAATATCAACAGTACAACGATTGAAATGTCTTTTGAGAGCCAAATTTTTAAAACTTAAACTATATAGGTAGGTACATTGTTATTAACTTAATTAGGGTACTCCTAAGCTGGCCTTTGCTAAAAACATCCTCAATCTGATTGAGGTACATTCGCTGAGGTCGACCCCTTCCAACTCTCCCATCCATACTCGTCTTGTATACTTTTTTCATCTATCTCCTTTCCGAAAACTGACTTCTGCGCATGGGCCACGAAGTTTCAATTGCACTGTATGTGCGCACCTGCACATGGTATTTTGTGGAAGAGCCACACTCAAGGGGCCAAAGAGCCGACCACTGCCCTAGGACTTGTTTCCACAAACATATTGCTACAAGAGAAGTCTGAGATTTTTCTGCCTATGGCAGGGGTGGGCAACCCCTGGCACGTGTGCCAAATATGGCACACCAGTAACTTTTGCTAGCACTCGAAACCCTCTCTTATAATCTTCCATTTACAATTTTTGTGAACATTTGAATGACTTAAATGTTAAATTACAAGGAACTGGAAAGACACTTGATGTTATGTTTGGTTACATAAAGTCTTTTGAAAAGAAACTGGAAGTCTTTAAGAGGGATGTGGATGGTGAGAATTTAGATATTTCCCAAACCTCAAGAAGCACATCAAAGACCTCCCAAAAGATGACAGAACAGACTGTCAAAGCCTTCAAAAGCTGTTTTTAAACATCACCGAGTCAACTATTGAGCAGTTCTTCTCAAGATTTGCGAAATTCAGAGAACTGGAACAGACAGCAAAATTCATGAGGTTTCCAGACAGCATGAAACTGGAGGCACTAAACTTACAAATGTTTTCATGGATAGACATGGCTGACTTTGAAATGCAGTTGATTGAATTTCAGAGTAGCTCAATTTGGAAGCAGAAATTTATTGACCTTAGAGTTGACTTGGAAAACATTGAAAAAAAGCGATTGGAGACAGGAGTACCAGAGAGAAGTGTCGAAAACGAACTATTGAGGACTTGGAATGCCATTCCAGAAAATTTTTTCTGTTTAAAAAACTTTGTAACAGCGTTACTCTCCATGTTTTCATCCACATACGCTTGTGAATCTTTTTTCTCAGTGATGAGTTTTGTTAAGTCTCATAATAGAAGTAGCCTGATGGATGAAAGTAGTAGCTCGTGCATATCTCTGAAGGTCACGAAATATAAACCTGATGTAAAAATTTCTGTCATCAGTGATGCAGCAGCAAAACTCCCACTGATAATATCAAACGGAGTCATAAAGTTTTTTGTCGGACTATCAGTGTACATGTATACATTAAAAAATAAATGTATTTTTCATCATCATATACTGTGTTTTTGTTGCTTGAATGAATTTTATTATTTCTTCAAGGTTCTTCACATATGTACACCTTAAGAGATATCAAGTAGACGTAACGTGTTCTCAAAAAATTAGGGTTGGCACGCAGAAGAATTTTGAGTCAGAGATTTTGCTGGTTTTGGCACGCACTCACAAAAAGGTTGCCCACCCCTGGCCTATGGTTTCTTCTAGAATTTTTTGTGGTTTCACAATTTACATTTAAGTCTTTTATCCATTAGAGTTTATTCTTGTGTATGGTGTAAGTTGGTGGTCTAGTTTTTCTTTTTCTTTTTTTGCATGTATTTGTCCAATTTTCCCAACACCATTTATTGAAGAGACTGTCTTGACTCCATTTTATGCTCTTGCCTCCTTTGTCAAATATTAATTGAGCACAATGGCTTGGATCAATTTCTGGGGTGTCTGTTCTATTCCATTGACCTATATGCTTGTTCTTGTGCCAGTACCAGGCTATTTTGATTACAGTGGATTTGTAGTATAACTTGATATCTTGTGATCAGACTTTCTGAAGATTGCTGCAGCCATTGGGGGTCTTTTTTGGTTCCATATAAATTTTTGGAGTATTTGTTCTATGTCTCCTCATTTTGGCTATCCGTTTGGGTTTGTGACTATGTATTAGGTAGATCCTCTATGTCTCTCAATCTCTAGTGCAGGACAGTGTCAAATGCTGTTTCTGTCTAATTAGATCAGGCAAAGACTCAAAGCCTCCAGAGACCACCTCTGCCTACAGACTGATAGGATTCTGACTTGAATTGCCCCAGGCAATCATCCTCTGGTGTGGCAAGAGTGTTTTTCAACAGGATGGAGCAGTTGCTCCTGCCTGAAGGCTAATTGTTATTTTTAGTCTCTTAAGTGGCTTCAGGGCAAAGAGTTTTTCAATAGGGTGGGTCAACTGTCTTCCCCCCAGACAAAGCAAATATCTGTGTGGGAAAGATGTCCTCTGCTGTGTGAGTGAATGACTCAGCCCAGGAAACCAGGGATGTCTGCCTACTGAGCTGTATCCCCAGAGTACCCAATCCTGGCTTCTGTTCACACAGCTCCAGTCCACTTTACACTCCCTCTGCCAGAGCACAGGGTGGGTGGCTCCACAGGGAATTTTGTGTGTTGGCCCTTTAAGAGGGTGCCTGAATTTTCAGCCATCTCTTCCTGGCAGATAGCAACCCTGTTGCTTTTCACAGCCAGATATTATGTGGGTGCCCTTCTCAGTTGTGGTGCTCTCTGCTGGGGGGCCCAGCTTGGGGATTAAATCCCAGAGTTTTCAGTGGCAATAGCTAAGATATCTCTCTGGAACTTCAGCTGCTTCCTGTGGGTGCCCAGCCAGCCCTTTTGCGTCTCTGCCCCTCCTACCAGTCTCTATGTGGTCTCCACTTTGGGTCCTCCAGTATCAGGGTTCTCTCTGTGAGTCTTTTGTGGATTATTCAGGAAGTTTTCCCTGTATTATAGTTGTAATTCCAGTTTGTTCCTGGGAGCATATCTGTGCAGCATTCACCTACTCTGCTGCCATTTTTTAATCTCTGGAGTATTTGTTCTAGATCTGTGAAATATGCCGCTGGTAATTTAATAGGGATTGCATTGAATCTGTAGATTTCTTTGGGTAGTATGGACATTTTAATGATGTTAATTCTACCAATCCATGGACATGGTATATTCTTCCACTGGTTTATATCTTCTTCTATCTCTTTTTTCATTGTCCTGTAGTTTTCCAAGTACAAATCTTTTACCTCCTTGGTTAAGTTTATTTCTAAGTATCTTAATTCTTTTTGTTGCAGTGGTAAGTGGGATTGTTTGTTTGTTTTCTCTTTCTGAGAATTCATTATTGGTGTATGAAAATGCCATTGATTTCTGGGTATAAGAATTTTTTTTTTAAATTAAAGACCATTAAAGAACTAATGAATATGTTCCTGGATACATAGACTCAACATCATATAAATAATAGCAATCTCTAACTTGTTTATGAATTGAACACCATCCAAGTTAAAAACAAACAAAAACAATAGTTGATTTTGAGCTGGACAAATTGCATCTAATTGTATATAGAAAAATCAACAGAGAATAATAGCCTGAAAAACTGATGAAGGAGAGAAGGATGGAGAATGAGAAGACATAAAACTGTATAGACAGTAAAATGATCAGTGCTTGCCAGGGATTCGGGGAAGGAGGTAGGGTGAATAGGTAGAGTAGCTTTTTAGGGCAGTGAAACTATTCTGTATGATACTGTAATGGTGGACACACATCATTATACATTTGTCAAAACCTATGGAATGTTCGACACCAAGAGTGAACCCTAATGTCCTATGGACTTTAGTTTAAAATAATGTATCCATATGGCTCATCAATTGTAACAAATGCCCCGCCCAAATGCAAAATGTGAATAATAGTAGACACTTTGTATTTGTGGGGAAAAGTATATGAGAACTCTCTGTACTTTTTGCTCAAATTTTCTATCAACCTAAAACTGCTTTACAAAATAAAGTCTATTCATTAAAAAAAAATTAAAAGATAATAGTGCATGAATAGACACCAGAGCAACAAGAGGAGAAAGGCCAGAAATAAACCCAAATATATACAGGAATTTTGTAAATTAAAAAGGTGGCATCTCCGATCACTGGGGAAGAAAGGATGAGACTCATTCAATAAATAGTGTTGAGGTGACCAGGTAGCCATCTGGAATAAAAGTCTGATATGAGCCTGGCTGATGTGGCTCAGTGGTTGAGCATGTACCTATGAACCAGGAGGTCACAGTTCGATTCCCAATTGGAGCACATGCCCAGGTTTTGTGCTCCATCCTCAATAGGAAGCATGCAGGAGGCAGCCAATCAATGATTCTTGTCATAGATATATCTGTCTTTCTCCCTCTCCTTTCCTCTCTGAAATCAATAAAAAAATATTTTTAAAAGTCTGATACCGGGGCGGGGCGGGGGGGGGGAGGGGAGAGGAATGGCTTATAACATGTTTGTGCCTGAAGAGAATTTTATGTTGAATGAAGAAAATGCCTGTAAATATTTACTTAAAAGGCTAACTTAATGGATAGGAAAGGATTAATACCTTAGTATCAATATTTGGGCTGGATGAAAATTGATTGTTGCTGAAGAAAAAATTTGAATAAGATCAGCAAGTATAAAAAACTAAAAAAATAAAAGTTTTTTGTCATCCTAAAAAAATAAAATAAAATAAAAAAGTCTGATGCGTATCTTACAGGAAGAAAAAGAAGGAAAAGTGGAGAGGGACAGGGGAGGAGGAAGTAGTTGGCGCGGGCAACTAATTTTCATCTTTTATGGGTCAGCTATTCTCTTACCTCCATGGGGTTGATGAGCGTCTGGGAGGTGGCCACAGCCAGGGAGCCAGCAAGGAGCCGTTCCTGAAAGGATGGGGACCCATGCCCTTCACAGAAATAATTCTTACACTAGGACAGGAGAGAGGAGCAAGAGCGAATAACTAACCGTCTTTCTACCTGAAACCCATGTGGAGAGAGAGGACTGGAGGGTGAACGTCTTGGATAGGGATCTGAGTTTTGGGGAAGTGATGAGGACTTAAGGGTGGGACTGGGGAAAGCAGACCATCCCCCACCTGTTCAAAGACGGAGAACTTGATGGCGTACTCAGGGGCTATCTTGAGTATGTTGATACCATTGCCCCGCCATAGGGAATGGAAGCCCCCCTCTTGGACCATGCTTCGTAGCCCCCCCAGTAGATTCATGAAGTTCGTCTTGGAGGAGTAGACCTGGCGGTAGAGAGGTCCCTGGACCTGTGAGAAGTCCTTCACCCTATTTTCATCCCCATCCCATCTTGAAACTCAAGCCCATCCTGTCTCCAGCCACACAACCCCTCCCATATCCCCATTCCTTCTCCAACTCCTTCCCTGGCTGGTCCTAGAATTCTCTCACCAGTGCAGACCCAAACCCCACACTGAGCCACATTTCCATCCCATCCATCTTCCTCTCCTCTCCAGTCCTACTTTGTCTTCAAAGACTCTCATCCTCAATCCCTGATTACAACCCCAACCCTGTCCCTGGTACCATTCTCTCAACTCCTTCCCCAAGTCAACTCCATAGATAGGAGGTGATGGGAGATGCTCCAGGTCGTTTTTACTCACATGCCCAAACACACTCCATCAGTTTCACATTCACATCAGCTCCATCGTCATCCCCAATTCAACCCCCTTCTCCATTTCCATTCAACCATCCCACCTGCCTACCTGCTTCCAGTTCACCCTCCCACCCCCATCCGGAACTCTATCAGCTCCATTTTTGTCCATCCCGACCCCAATGGCTTCAGCGCCATGCCCCCCCCCCCCACCTGCATGTACACCTTGGCACGGTCCAGGGGGGCCATGCCAGTGCGAGACACTGCCCCAGCCATGGCTCCTGAGAGCAGAAACTTCCACAAGGCTCCCATGTTATCCACTTCCAGGACATCCATGGGCACCATCAACTGTTCTCCTGTGTCAAGAACCGCAGGGCAGACCCAGCTGCTGCCCATGCTCTGTCAGGCTGGAACCAGACACATCTCCAGAACCCTCTCCTGGTGAAAGGCCCACCCCGGTCCTCACGGCTTCAAGATGAAATTCTAGGTCTGATTGGAGGGAAGTGGGCCATGTAGAGGGGTGGGCAGTGTGGCTTTCTCCCCGCAATGTTCTGGCTGGAGATACTGAGTGACCTGTATCTCACCTGCTGTGATATGAGGTGCTCCAGGTCGTTTTTACTCACATGCCCAAACACATATCCATACACGTGAGTACAGCCTGGGTTCCAGAAGACAGGTGGGGGTGGGGACGGTGGTAGAGGTGGGGGTGAAGCTTTGGTGAATAAGGCCTTGACCCTCTTAAATAGGGTCTGGATCCTTGAGCAAGGGTTCTGAGCTTCCTCAGGTTTCACTACCATGGCAGCGAGAGAGTCAGGACATTGAGGTTCAGATGCCTGGCAAGAGATTTGCCTACCAGCAATCATGTGGGAGGTTGTAAATTTGCCTAGTAAATTTGGGTCCCGGGGATAATGAGGTCACAGAGGCCCTTGTGACCTAGCTGGATAAGGTGGACAGACGGAGGGTCTCCCCTCACTCTGCTCACCCCTCTAAACCTGTGAATGTGTTATGTTACATGAGAGGGGGGAGGGTGCTATGTTTGCAAATGGAATTTAGGTTACTAACCAACTGATAGGGGGCTGGACAGATAATTCTGGATCAACCAAATGGGCCCAAGGTACTCTCGTGAGTCCTTAAACGGGGAAGAGGGAGCCAGAACAGTTGGTGTTGGAGTTATACATTGTGAGAAAGACCTCAAGGCCATCGCTGGCTTTGAGGATGGAGGGAGGGCCACCAGCCATGGAATGCAGGTGACCTTTAGAAGCTGGAAAATGCCTTGGAGGCTCCAGAAGGAGCCAGCCCTAACGACAGCTTAATTTTAGCCCAGAGAGATCCATGTCATGTTTCTGCCCTCCAATATAATTCATTGGTGTTGTTTTAAGCCGCCAGGTTTGGCATCATTTGTTACAGCAGCCATAGGAAACTACTACAGGGTTTCATTGTCATGGCAACAGGAGATGAAAGTGAGAGAGAATGGGACAGCTCTGGAGTTTGGGGAAGAGAGACACAGTTGATCCCCCCAAAAGACAGGAATAGGTTTGGAGTTAGGAAGACCTGAGTTTGAATCTCACCTCTACACTTGTTGCTGTGTGACTTTGGAGTACCCGCCTTACTTCTCTGAGCGTCAGTTTCCCCATCTGGAAATGGGAAATAATGATAAACTCTACCAGATAGTGTTGTCAGTAGGATCCAACAAGAGTCTTCACTGAGGGCATCTCCATCCTTCCCCAAAACACCCTTTATTTTGTAGGTGGGGAAACTGAGGCTTAGAAAGAGAAGCTTGTCTGGTGTCACACTGCATGTCAGTTGCAGAGCCTCCTAAATCCCAGCCATAGCGTCATGGGATATAAGGATGCAGACATGAAAATGGACGTTAACTGGTCCAATTAAATAAACTTAAAATGCTGACACTCTACGCAAGCATGGCGGTAGTAACACTGGCAATGCTAATTCCTTGTTGAAAGCTGTGTGTATTACATAACAATTTTTCTGGTGGCATGACTCCGAGATAGCAATATCCTTTGACCCACTCCTGGGAATTGATGCTAAGGACATAGTTCAAAGGAAGTAAAAATACAAAAGTTAGCAAGGTTTGATCCCTTATTTGAGTATGTGGAAAGTCATATCTGTGGATGTGCGTATGTATCAGTGAGCTACTGCGACATAATGAATTACCGCCCGCCCCCCCGCAACACACACACACCCCACAGCAGCTTAAAATGCAAACAAGATAGTAGCTGCAGTTCACTTATAACCTAATCCTGGAAGTGATATACCGTCAATTCTGCTGTATCCTCTGGCCCAAACAAACTCACCTTGGTACAATGAGAGAAGGGATTATACAAGAATGCAAATACGAGAGGCAGAAGTCATTGGGGGACATCTTGGAGGGTGACTATCACGGTCCACACAGGAGAGTTTGGACATGTAAAGACAGGGAGAAAGCGGAATGATGGGTCTACAAGCCAAGGAGCACCAAGGTTTGCTGGCAGCCACCAGAAGCTGGAAGAGGCAAAGGAGGACCCTCCCCTGAAGTCTTCAGAGGGAGCATAAGCATGCCAACACCTCGATTTCTGACCTCTACCCTCTACAACTGTGAGAGAATAAAGTTCTGCTTTTGTATGTGTTTTTTAAAACGTCTTTATTGTTGAAAGTATTACAGATGCCCCCCTTTCCCCATCCCCCATGACCCCAAATTTCTGTTGTTTTTATTCATGATAGCCAAAAGGTGGGAAAAATCCAAGTGTCTACTGATGGGTGAATGGACCATCCAGACAATGGAGTATTACTCAGCCTTCAAAAGGAAGTAAATTCTGACACATACTGCAACATAAATTCTGAGGACATTATGCTCAGTGAAATAACCCGACAAAAAGGACACATACTGTGTGATTCCCCTCACAGGAAGTCCCTAGAGTCAGATTCAGAGATAGGAAGTAGATGGTGGGAGCCAGGGGCTGGGGGAAGGGGAGTTAGTGTGTGATGGGGACAGAATGTCAATTTGGGAAGGTAAGAAAGTTCCGGGGATGGATGCTGGGGATGGTTGCACAACCATGTGAATGTATTTAATACCACTGAACTGTACACCGAAACATGATAAAATGGTGTGCTCGCTTAGCAGCCGGTACTAAACTGGAATGATACAG